AGGAAATACTCCTTCACACTAGGGCCAAACATTCATTGAACCACTCGCGAAAATTTCCCTCGTGACCCATGCCTTACTATTAGATTTCCAAAACACACACAATTTACTCTTCATAACATTGTTTTTCCTGAACACTCTGGGATTTTCAGAATGGTACACCAGTAATGGCTTCACTTTGAAACCCACTAGCATTAGCACAGAACATTAGCGTCAGCCTGTCTTTCATAGGCTTGTGTCCTGGCATTGCCTTTCCTCTTGTGTAATGAGGTCCTCTTTGGCATTTTCTTCCAAAAGAGGGCCTGTTTCATCACAATTGAACACTTGTTCAGGTTTCAGTCCTTCAGCTCTATGTACTCCTGGAATTCATGCACTATTTTTTCAGCCGCCTTGTGGTCCGAACTGGCAGCCTCACCATGCCTTACCACACTGTGTATGCCAGTACGGTTCTTAATCTCTCAAACCAGCCTTTGCTGGCCTTAAATTCACTCACTTCACCTATTTGCAGGCAATTTCTTTACCAAATCTTCATGCAACTGCCTAGCCTTTTCACAAATAAACGAAGTCATAGAGTATCTCCTGCTAATTGTTTTCATTTATCCACACCAATAATAACTTTCAACCTCTTCCAGTACTGGTGATCTCATTTTTGTCAGCATTAGTTACTCCTTTGCAACAACGCATCCTTTATTTCATTTTTCTTGGCCACTATGGAACATAAGGTTGTGTAGGGTTTCTTATACATCCTGGACAGTTCAGGCCACACTTGTACCACTTTCATATTGTCAATGATGGTTTTCTTAAATTCAGTCGTATTTCTCACCTTCTTTACCACAGGCTTGGCACTAGGAGCTTTCTTTGGAGCCATGGTAGCTTATTTAGTACTTGCAAGCACTAAAATAAATGGAATATTATGAAATATTTTGCTGGAGCACGTGAGGGGACCTTCGCTCACTGGTAAACAATGCCAGACTGGCTGCCGCCCTGGCTCACGCCGTGGGTACGCGTCCCGGACGAACTACGACTCGCGAGTCAACCTATGAAAAGCGAGTCCATGTTTATACGAAAATACCTCTATGATTGGCGAATTTTACGATTGCCGGGAACTACGAAAAGCGGGGGACCACTGTACGTATATACTAATTGAACATTACTAATATACAACAATTTTGCATATTTTCTGTTGTAAACAATTAATGTAAACAAAATAACGATGAAAATATTAGTGCTGTTATTGTGTTGAATACAACGGTACCATATAGTACCGTATGGTACAATGGTACCATATGGTACAATGTACCATATAGTACAGGGTAGAGGGACCCTAATGGAAATATGGAAGTCACTCTGTCTGACTTTTTTGGGTTATCCTAGGTTCTCTACACATATGTTGTTATGTATGATAATTTATGTAATTGTATTTGTGTATAGTACTTGAATAAACTTATGACGCCACATGTGCTCAAATAAGTTTATTCAGGTATACACAAATACAGTTACATAGATTATCATACCTAGCAGTATATGTGTAAAGATCCTAGGATAACCCAAAAAAGTCAGAGTGACTTATTTCCATTGGGATCCTTGTATCTGTACCATATGGTGCCATAAGCATGCAGCATGCTGCACCAGCCCAATGCAACAATAATGCTTATGCCTCATGTCTATAAGCATTATACAAAATCATACTGGTCCACAGATGAGTAAGACACCATTGTACATGACACCTTCTTGCAATGACTTTCACAGACTGTAACAGTTCTAGGAACATGTCCAGTGACTGTACATTTTTTTTTTTTCAACAAACCAGCCATATCCCACCTAGACAGGGTGGCCCAAAAAGAAAAACGAAAGTTTCTCTTTTTAAATTTAGTAATTTATACAGGAGAAGGGGTTACTAGCCCCTTGCTCCTGGCATTTTAGTTGCCTCTTACAACATGCATAGCTTACGGAGGAAGAATTCTGTTCCATTTCCCAGTAAAGGTGTGTGTGTGTGTGTGTGTGTGTGTGTGTGTGTGTGTGTGTGTGTGTGTGTGTGGTGTGTGTGTGTGTGTGTGTGTGTGTACTCACCTAATTGTGGTTGCAGGGGTCGAGACTCAGCTCCCTGGCCTGTGTGTGTGTGTGTGCGTGTGGGTGTGTGTGTGCGTGTGTGGGTGTGTGTGTGCGTGTGTGGGCGTGTGTGGGTGTGTGTGCATGTGTGGGGTGCGTGTTGGGTGTGTGTGTGTGGGTGTGTGTGAGGGTGTGTGTGAGGGTGTGTGTGAGGGTGTGTGTGTGGGTGTGTGTGAGGGTGTGTGTACTCACCTATTTGTACTCACCTATTTGTGGTTGCAGGGGTCGAGTCACAGCTCCTGGCCCCGCCTCTTCGCTGATTGCTACTAGGTCCTCTCTCTCCCTGCCCCATGAGCTCTATCATACCTCGCCTTAAAACTATGTATGGTTCCTGCCTCTACCACATCACCTTCTAGGCTATTCCATGGCCTGACTACTCTATGACTGAAGAAATACTTCCTAACATCCCTTTGATTCATCTGAGTCTTCAACTTCCAATTGTGACCTCTTGTGTCTGTGTCCCATCTCTGGAACATCCCGTCTTTGTCCACCTCGTCTATTCCGCGCAGTATTTTATATGTCGTTATCATGTCTCCCCTGACCCTCCTGGCCTCCAGTGTCGTGCGTGTCCGTACATGTCCGCACATGTCCGTGCGTGCGCCCTGGTGTGTGTATGTGTGTGCGCGCGCGCTAGTGTGGGTGTATGAACCACTTAATATTTGTATTCATAACTCATTACAATTGTGACCAGGTGTGGACGTATCAGTGGTTCATTACTTTGTAATTTGTTCATGACTGTAACCATGTATAGGAGTGGAGCTGATTCATTACCTCTGTAACTTACCATGATTGTGACCAGATCTACCTGGAGTTCATTACCTTTGTAACTAGTTCAGCTATCATAACTTTGGGGTCCAGTCACTGGACCCATTATGTACCTTTGTAATCTTTTGACTACCGCCCACAGGATGGGTATGGGGTGCATAATAAAGATATTAAACTAAAGTGTGTGTTGTGTGTGGTGTATGTGTGTGTGTGGTATGTGTGTGTGTGTGTGTGTGTGTGTGTGTGTGTGTGTGTGTGTTGTGGTGTGTGTGTGTGTGTGTGTGTGTGTGTGTGGTCTGTTGTCTGGTGTGTGTGTGACTCAACAATCAATATTTGCACCAATAACTCATTACAGTTGTGACTGGGTGTGGAAGTGTGAATTGCTCATCACACTATAATTTGTTCATAATTGTAGCCATGTATAAACGTAAGTAACCATTCTACAGAATTCATTACCTTCGTAACTTGTGAGCTCATTACCTTTGTACCTAGTTCAGCTATCAAAACTTTGGGGGCCCAGTCCCTGGACCCATTACGTACCTCTGTAATCTGTAAATACATTTGTAACTTGACATGATTGTGACCAGACCTACCTGGAGTTCATTACCTTTGTAAATTGTGAGTTCATTACCTTTGTAAATTGTGAGTTCATTACCTCTGTAACTTGCTCAGCTATCAAAACTTTGGAGTCCAGTCCCTGGACCAATTATGTACCTCTGTAATCTTTTGACTACCGCCCACAGGATGGGTATGGGCTGCATAATAAACATATTAACCCTTTGAGGGTCGACAGGCCCTCTCCGAAACTCGTTCTCAGGGTCGGCCAAATTTAAAAAAAAAAAAAAATATTTTCTCTTATGAAAAGATAGAGAATCTTTTCCCGATCATAAAGACACCAAAAGTTTGAAATTTGATAGAAAACTTACGGAATTATGCTCTCGCAAAGTTAGCGGTCTCGGCGATGTTTACGCATCGGCGATTTTGCCCACTTTGAGCCCTATTTTAGGCCAATTTCACTGTACTAGTCGACAAAAAACATGAATATTTCGCTAGAACTCCATTTTTTCTATCGAATGGGTGCAAGAAACCACCCATTTGTAAATTCAACTATCCAGTACAGTGGTCAGAATTTAGCAATTTTGCCAATTTCACACAAATTTCAAAAGATGCCAATTTCCGAATAGGGTCCAGAATAAACAAGAAAGACATTCCTGGCACTAAAATGACATTTCCTCTAGTCATTAGTCACGTCTCAAGGGCCCTCTTATATTCTTTTGCTTTCCACTTTGAATTTTTATTCTCACAAAAAATATAAGATTTACTGTTATGCAGACTACTGCATTAGTGTAAAAATGGTATAAATATTATTGGTGCACTTGTAAAAGAATATTAGACTCACCAGTTGACGTGTATTGCACGCTTGGCACGATTTGTTTACTTTTGAAGTTTGGTAAAAATCGAACATTTCTGCTACTTTGAGCTCAATTTCAAGGCACCTTTCATTGTAAAACCAGTCAAAATCATCTCAATTTCTGTAATATGTCTTCCATTCTATAAAATGAGACCAAGAAAACTAGAATACAACAATAAATACCATACGAAAATACACTGCAAAGTCGCTGATTTATTAAAAAAAAATGGTCAAAGTTTTTTTTTTCTCATTATGCACTGTGTGCTGCAGGATTTTTTTTAGACTGTGCACACTGACCACATAGACCCATTCTTTCATATGAAGGCCTACCAGCTTTCTCCCACTAGATTTGAGGCCGCTAGAATTTATGAGTACTAGTACGTCAAAAACCCCTACGCGTAAGACGTACTAGTACGACGAAAACCCTCAAAGGGTTAAACTAAAACTTTCCCCATGAAGATAAGAGGAAATAAACAAGAACTAAAAAGAAAATTGAAGAAAACCCAGAGAGGTGTGTATATATATGCTTGTACATGTATGTGTAGTGTGACCTAAGAGTAAGAAGAAGTAGCAAGACGTACCTGAAATCTTGCATGTGTATGAGACAGAAAAAAAAGACACCAGCAATCCTACCATCGTGTAAAACAATTACAGGCTTCCGTTTTACACTCCCTTGGTAGGACAGTAGTACCTCCCTGGGCGGTTGCTGTCTACCAACTTGCTACCTATGATGACTGTACATATGTAAATATATATAATAGAACATTACTAATATATGTACAACATTTTTGTATGTTTTTTGTTGTAAACAAGTTTTCTAAGCAATATAATGATGAACAAATGAGTGCAGTTATTGTGCTGAATACAATGAGTGTACATTATACACTATATTGGTCTCACAAGCCACAAAAGTTACTGGGAAAAAATACTGGAAAAGAAAAGAAAAAAGTAACAAAAACGTAAAATAAAAAAATGCGACTTTACGGAAATCGCGGATGTTGCTGCCACCCAGTCACTGAGGGTCAGCTTCACGCCTCTATATCTCAGTAAGTACAGATTGGATTTTTTTTTGTTTTATTACCTATAGAAAAATAATATCTTTAATTCTGTAAGTTTTTTTTTTTTTTTTTTTTAATTCTTGGACCCTGGCTGACACTTTGAGATTTGGCCTCTGGATCCTAAAAGGGTTAATACAACATGACATCAGGAATCCCTGGTGTTTGCCATGCTATTTGCTCTAGCTGGTGCTCAATTGAACTGGTGCTCCCACAAGGTACTAAGTGGTCCAAGATTTTTTTAATAATGCACACACCAAGTGTTAAGATCCATTCTATACTGACCAGGCATCTCAGGCCAATCGTGCCAAATTTGGAGGTAGGAAAAATAAAACGTTGATTTACATTTGGAGCGTTAGTGGTACTAATGTAGATCTACGTCTGGACAGTTAAGGGTTAAAGAGAGAATAATTAAATACAAAGTATTTAGTCAATGTAGGTGAAGTCATATGCAGTGTGACCCAATGCTGAGGTTCAGGCATTATATGAATGACCTCATGCAGAGATGGTACTGTATACTAGATAATTCTGCACGGAGTTAGTGAGCACTGAACAATGTATTCCTGTACTTTTTCCATTTATTTAACCAAAGGTTATTTATACAAAATGCATCCAGGTACCAGAACTTTAAACTGAATCAAACATATTTTACCAGTGATCTAATTAGACTACCAGAGTGAAACCTTGTTGTGGGTTGTCACTAAGTGTACTCCAATCTCTTACCTTTTTAGTCACATATGGTCGCGGGGTTAGGAAATCTGAAAAAAGGAATCAAAAAAATTTTCTGAAAATTTTTCCCAAATTTTTCAGCTTCTGTCCCCAGGTTTAACTGAAAAGAATTAAAGTATAAAAAGTAAAGGTGTTTTTTTAAAATAAAAAAAAAGGGCTAAAAACTTTCAAACCCACATCATCACATTAAGAAAAAAAAAATCAGTGCTTACCATTTTACCATATTTTTTTTTTAATAAATCATTTACAAAAAAAAAAAATTATAAAGGGAGCAAATACTTAACAATTGGGTTGGCTTTTGAAAAGTATTTTTTAGTGGGGCCCCGGGGGGCAGCCAAAAAATTTTAATTTGGTTGGTGGGGAATGTCGGGGGAAAATCGGTTAGGCAATTCTTCCAGGGTGGTCGGTCCCGCTCAGTTTGAGTATCAAACAAGTTCTTCCCAACCAGTTTTCTGTTTGGTTGGTTGTTATCACTAATCTTCATAGGCCCCATGATGACTTATTTATACAAATACAAATACAAAAAAAAAAAAGAAAAAAAAAAATATGCAAAGAAACTGAAATAGTTTACAGCAAAGTTCTGGCAGATTGTATTTGTTTGGTAGAGTGCTGAGCTTTGTTCAAGTAGGGAGCCGGTTGTATACCAAAGTTCCACTGTATGGTGAAACCTTGGTTTTTGTCATTAATTTGTTCCAGAAAGTCTGATGAAAACTAAATTCGACGATAAATGAAGCAGTATTTCCCATAAGAAATATGTAATGTAAATCCAATTAATCTGTTCCAGACACCCAAAAGTATTAACAAAAAATACATTTTATAGAGAATGACTATACAGTGGACCCTCGACCAACGATGGCATCAATTAACGATAAATCTGACTAGCGATACATTTAAACGCAAAATTTTTGCCTCGACTAGCGCTAAAAAACTCGACCAACACTATTTGTTCCGTCAGATGCGTCCACTTCTGGCCAGTGTTTACAAGCCAGCCAGCCACCACGGTCGCTTCCAAGCATACAATCGGAACATTTCATGTTATCACAGCCTTTTTAGTGATTGCACCTGCAAAATAAGTCACCATGGGCCCCAGGAAAGCTTCTAGTGCCAACCCTACAGCAAAAAGGGAGAGAATTACTATGGATATGAAGAAAGAGATCATTGCTAAGTATGAAAGTGGAGTGAGTGTCTCCGAGCTGGCCGGGTTGTACACAAAACCCCAATCAACCATCGCTACTATTGTGGCCAAGAAAATGGCAATCAAGGAAGCTGTTCTTGCCAAAGGTGCAACTATGTTTTCGAAACTGAGATCGCAAATACTCGAAGATGTTGAGAGACTGTTATTGGTGTGGATAAACGAAAAACAGATAGCAGGAGATAACATCTCTCAAGCGATCATATGTAAAAAGGCTAGGAAGTTGCATAACGATTTAATGAAAAAAATGCCAGCAACTAGTGGTGATGTGAGTGAATTTAAGGCCAGCAAAGGTTGGTTTGAGAGATTTAAAGGGAAGGGAAGTAACCCCGGAAAAGGACTTGCCACCTCAAGCCCTAATGGAAGGGGATTCCCCTTCTAAACACTAAGACCATCAACACTCTCCCCTCCTCCCATCCCAACAATCATCACCAGATCTTCAATAAAGGTAAGTGTCATGTAACTGTGCATGTCTTCTTCAGTTTGTGTGCATTAAAATTAATATTTCATGTGGTAAAAAAAATTTTTTTTTCATACTTTGGGGTGTCCTACACGGATTAATTTGATTTCCATTATTTCTTATGGGAAAAATTAACTTGACTAATGATAATTTTGACTAACGATGAGCTCTCAGGAACGGATTAATAGTGTTAGTCGAGGGTCCACTGTAGTTTTATATACAGAAAACAATGAGAAGACTCTTGTTGGCGTATGGAAGACTACCATCCTCTATCACCATCACTACCACCCTCTACCAGTATCACTACCACCCTCTACCACCATCACTACCACCCTCTACCACATCACTACCACCCTCTACCACTATCACTACCACCCTCTACCACCATCACTACCACCCTCTACCACCATCACTACCACCCTCTACCACAATCACTACCACCCTCTGCCTTTGTAAAAGGTTGTAGTGATATTTTTCCACAAAACTTTGCAACTCATTCCCCTTTCGTACTTTGCTACGAGTTCTTTCTTAAATTCTATCGTGTTTTTCGCCTTCTTTATCAAAGGGCTGGCACTCGGAACTTTCTTTGGCCCCATGGTGGCTTACTTACCAGTCACACTCAATAAACAAGCACAAAAAACAATCGATTATTACAAAATGTTTCGGATGAACTCGCAGGGTAACGCTCACTCAACTAGAAACAAAGCCAGACTGACTCAGAATGCGTGGGATACTTTGTGTGGGCATGGGGAGGTGGACACCTTTGGTATGGCGCACCACTGTCAACTCAACGGAAACTGAGGTGATGAATGAAAACTGGGACAAAATTTTGACGAAAGTCGTCAAAACCTGAGTTCGACGAAAACCAGGGCAAACAAAAACTGAGGTTCCACTGTAGTATTTAGTTTATATTTTACTGGAGGTATTCAGTAATTCAGTAAAAAAAATTCTAATTAGTGATACATTAAGGATGAAGCTAGGTACCTGAGTTGAAGGAATGATGGAACAAGAAGAGGGACAATACTGAATGAAAGACAGGTTTCTCCATCAAACATATTACAACTTTAGAACACCTAACCCTGCAATGCTGTATGACTCTTATGGGTTTAGCATGTACTTATGATTATAATAAAAGAATTCTTCAGCATAATAAATTTTTGTCAGGATCATATTAAGGTAAGGAGGTGTTTTTTAACAATAGCTTTGAAGTGGCTGGCAGATAGAGGGACTCTGGAATTTTCAGGCAGAGAGTACCAAATTTTAGGTACTTTTATGCACAGAGCTTTTACACAGGTTGAATCAGACACAGAAAATATCAAAGATTTTTGTGTCTAGTATTATGCCTATGAGTTCTGTTGCAACTATCAAGAAAGAGCTTCAGGGCAGGACTGATATTAGAATTGATTGTCCCGAATATGCAGTATGCACAGTAGTATGAGTGAATATTAAATAAGTTTAGACTTCTGAGGAGTGGAGGAGTGTGTTATCTGGCACTAGACTTAGTGACCATTCATAAAGTAGCTTTTTGTTGTTATTATTATTGGTTTAAAGTGATTTTCTATAGTAGATCCCCAGGCACAAATAACATAGGTAAGGTGGGGATAGATTAGAGAGTAGTATGGTGTAAGTAGTGCTGTTTGAAGTACATAGTAACATATACCTGAGAGAATGCCAGCTAATTTGAATATTCTTTTTCTTATGTGTTGAATGTGGCTGTACAACGTCATGTTGTTGTCAAGGAACAGACCTATGAATTTTCCTTCAGTATTATAAACTTGTGTTTCTCTTATTGCATTGTAAACATCTATTCAAAATCTACACCTTTGTCAAACTCTAAAATTATAACAGTTCAATATTAATTCATCAAATCTGTTCCTTATAAAGAGGAAACTGTAATTCTGTATTTGTTTTTTTAAAAAACTAGTGTAACAATCCATTAGCTAGTAAGATAAATTAGTTAAGTATCTTAATTATTAAGTTCAACACATTACTTATTCTAAAACCTAGTTGTTATAGTCACTCTCATTCTTATGTTTACAAACATTGATCCAGATTTTAACCTTTAATTAAATGACTTACATTAATCAAACAGTAACTGTAATTATTATACAGCAGACCAAGCTAAGACATTACTCAGAGCTAACAATAACATAATTATCTTTAATTACAATGTCAGATCCTTGAGCAAACATTATGATGACCTCACAGCATTACTCAATTCCCTTAATTCCAGTATGTCAATCATCACACTCAGAGAAACTTGGCTAAAGCCTGGCACTACAGATGTCTATGTCATTCCTGGGTACACAGCTATACACAACTGTAGGACAGACCAGCAAGGGGGTGAAACAACTATATACTACTCAAATCAACTTGACTGTATCAATAATTCTTGCACAAGGGATGAGCATGGTAAATATATTATAGCTAAATTTAAATCAAAAGACCTGCAAAAACCCCTTACAGTCATAAACATCTACAGAGTACCACAGTCAAACATTTATCACTTTAGTGAAAAATTAGGGAATTTGATAACTGATGCACATATGAACAAAGACAACCTAGTACTAACAGGAGATTTCAACATAAATCTACTCCATGACCAGGACCCACAAGTAACTGAATTCACAAACACTATGAGCAACTGCTTGTTACTACCAACAATATCAAAACCTACAAGAATCTCCCAGAATAGTATCTCTTTATTGGACCACATCTGGACTAACAATATATCCCCTTTAAAAGCAGGCATAATCACAGACAACACCACAGACCACTACCCTACCTTTCTCATAACCATCCTAGGTAAACTGCCCCAAGACACTACTGAAGTTACCTTCAGACTTCATAATGAAACAGCTGTAAATAACTTTATAGCAGCTATGAATAATGTTGACTGGCATAATGAGCTTGAAACATATACAGACACTAATGAATGTATTAATAATTTTATAAAAAGAACCCACTACCTCTATAACAAGCATTGCCCTAAAAAAACTAAACAGCTCACAGCAAAGAGACTAAATAGTCCCTGGCTAACACCCACCATCCTCAAATCCATTAACACAAAGCACCAATATGAAAAACAGTACAGAATGGGTCAAATAACTAGATACCAGTCTAAACGTTACTCGTCAGCTCTTACCAGCTTGATAAGAAGGTCTAAAAAATATTGTATTATGAAAACAGATTACAAAACATCAAATGTTATAAAAAAAAGACCTGGAAAACCCTACCTGAAATTCAAAGAACTAAAAGGATATCCAAAAACAAAACAATCAAACTAACAAAATCAGACGAACCCCAACTCCCACCAACAGAAACAGCAAACAGATTCAATGTGTTCTCCACCATAGGAAAGAATCTAGCAAGCAAAATCCCAAGCTCAAACACACGTCCATCAGACTACCTCACAGGCACCTAACCCACATACACTATTCCTAGCTCC